GGCCAAGTCATTTTCGAGTTTTTTGCGAGTTTCGCTCAAAATACAATTATGAGAACGTCAAATAGGTTAGAAGCCACAGAGAGTTCGATGGAGATACTGCCGAGATCGTCAGAGGATTTGTGGAGGGGCTTCGAGGGTTTTGATCAGGTAGAAAGTTCTAGGGCATTCGTAAGTGTTGGAAATATCCATGCGTCACATACTGGAATGCCCAAGGATGACTTATGGGTTTTTCCCCAGTGTGTTATTACATGTTCTATATCGGATTTTTCCCAATATTTTTCTCAATATTTCTTAACAAATGTTCTTAATCCCGGCGATAACCGCTGGTTTTGCTCCCAATGTAGTTTTACTACGTGTCCTGGATGTAATCTCAATGATATGGCAGTTGCTCATCAACATAAATTGATATCGCATATTCTTCCTACTCAACAAATAGCACAAGGTAAAACTTCTGTTGACTTGATCGACAGCGCTTTTAAGACGTTTGAATCATCTCCATTTATTGGTTTCAAAAGTACGGGAAGCAAGCAATTGCTATGGCTCACCTATGGTGAAATGTCTATGAAATGTTATGCATTAGCAAAATACTGGAAACAATTTGTAGTGAATGATAGTAAACATGTGAGACCGTTTACTGTGATAATGGCTGATACTTCACCCGCCTATGTCACTTGCTTACTAACTGGACTTTTGTGTCAAGCTGTGATTGTTCCAATTCACAGTGCATTACAACTAGATGCATTAACTCATGTTATATCGACAGTTGATCCGTCTATTATCGTTGTTGACGAACAATGTTTCGATAAACTTTCGGTTATTTTATCACCTAATCCTAGCAGATTAATAATGACAATTAGTGGAAGTGAAGAACAATTGAAATCATTAACAACAATTCACAAAGACTCGATTTCATTGACAACTGCTCTTGAGCTGGGTAACAAAATCCAAAATGATATTCGCCCATATTCCTTTTTATCAAGCGATACTGTGTCTGCTATACTTTCTACCTCTGGTAGTACAGGTTTTCCAAAAGGAGCGATGTTCACTGAAGAACTACTGGTCCCCAACGATACATTTACCCTTATATCGCTGTTTATACGTATTGATTATCAACCATTCGACCCCGTACTTGTACTATCTCTAATGAGTACCATGCAATATGGAAGTAGACGAGCTTTGACTAATCTTAAAGATATGTGGGATGACATACGAGACATAAAGCCGACAAGTCTCGGTTTAAGTCCTGCCATATAGACTTCCCCATATAAAACTTATTTGGGAAAGTTAACAGGACTTTCAACGGCAGAACAACGGGAGACTGTAGCAAGAGAAGTGCGCGAAAGTTTAGGTGGTTGACACACCGTCAACAACTGCTCGCTCGCTCTCGATCCAGAGAGAAAGAAAAAAAAGAGCTTTATTTTTAAGGGAGAAGAAAAAATTGTTTTTGGCTCAACGGGGGAGGGAAAAGAAGGTGTACACTTCTTTCTTTCTGCAGTGTGCCACATATGTGGAGGCATAATGTACTTTAATCCCACATAACATCCAAAAAGAGTAGAGCAGCGCTAAAGTATGAGTAATTACATAAACGGTTATGAATCTGGCAGTTGTGTGTGAAATTCGTCTACCGACCACGAAACAAAATTCGAAAATGCGCGAGAGCCTGATTATTTGAGAAACATCAAGGGGTCGAATAGCGCACTAACAAAGACGGCTTTTTGCCGAACTCGTGTCTTCTTCGTGTTCTTTTCTCTCGCCTTGAGACGTTGAATGAAAAGTTGGAGGTTACCCATTTTCGTGCGCGAATCAAGATTTATGGAAGACACAAGTCGCTTCGTTACAAAATGACTCGAGAGAGGAAATCAATGGTGGCGTTTGTTGCTTTTGATGTGAATGTCTTCTTGCCATAACCTCGGAGTGCTCTGCTTATTTAAGCGAAAAAGAATTTCGTTTTCCTTCTAGCAACATGTGGGAAATACAAGGACGCAGATTCCACAGAAAAGTTAGAATATTCCACAACCGATGCGACATGGATTTTTCTTCTTTCTCTCATTTGCTGTGCACAGACTCTCTCTCTCAGCTTGTAGATGTTTACACAGTGACATCGTGGGAAGAGATGTGTGTTTGTCAAAGGTAAACATCTACATGCTGAAAGAGTTTGTGCACGGCAAATGAGGGAAAGAAAACAGTCAATTTCATTCATAATTTCTGGAAAGTCCCACCTTCTCTAGAAATCGGCGTCATCGTACATTTCCAACATGTTGCAAGAAGGAAATGGTATATAAAGAAAGAAAGACGAGAGGTCGATTACAACTGATCAACGTACCTGTCAAGACATCATCGTGCGAGAAATGGGTATCAATGCGTCTAACTTGAACCTTTGGCCAGGACCAGTCCGCGACCCACCGAATACAAATCGCTATGTCACCGATGGCCGATGGATGAAGACGGGCACATTTCGCGTTTGCTACTTGGGCACAGATACAGTGACCCATGAACCGGTTGTGCTCAAAAAATTTAGAGATGAACAACCAAAACGAGTGTACGAGAAAGACATTGAAGTGTCGAAGGAAGCTCAGCGTATTGCCCAGCGATTCAACCAGAAAGTCGACACTAACAAGACAGTCCGATTCATTCAGCCTATCCTTTACCAATGCCATTCGAGCAATTCCAGACCGTTCCGGGAGGGAGAGTGGATACTTGTTGAGCCTTTTCTGGGTGAAAACTATCGAAAATTCAATTCGAACACAGGAGTAGAAATCGAGCCGGTCAAAAAGTTCATGGGAGCCTTGTCACATTTTAGCTATTACAACAGCGACGAAGAACTGGTATTGTGTGACTTGCAAGGCATCAGGACAGACGATGAATACATACTCACGGACCCGGCTATTTGTTCCATGGATCAAGAGTATGGCCCTGCCGACTTAGGTAAAAATGGTATCCGATCTTTCTTTTATCATCACAGTTGTTCAGATCTGTGCAAGTCAAGGTGGAAAAAACATGGTTCACCCAAACAATACAAGAACCCTACTGAGGGAACAACGTATTTGTTGTAAAAAACTTTCTGTTGCTTTGCCTATGTTTAGTTGTGAAGTGGATGAATGTGTGACAAGTCGAATCGAAAGGTTTACTACGGAAATAAAGAATGTTGTTCTCAGTTTAATATCACATGCGTACCCTGTATTGTAAAAAGCAAATTTGTTTACAAAGTCTTTTGCAGTTTTAAATATTTTCTAGAGATTGAGTTCTACCATTACTATGTCTTTGTATTTGACGAAAAATAGAAATGAACAAGTCAAAGTCACACAGTTCTATTTGCTTGAAAAATTCTTTCAGCCTAATCTGTTCCTAGCCATTTCCCCCTGTGCACGGGCAATGCCGAACCTTTGTCTCGCCATATCCCATAGTCCACGAGCCATGCCGAATCGGTGTCTTGCCACTTATCACCGTACACGGGCGATACTAAATCTGTGCCACGCGATTTGCCATCGTCCATGGGCAATACCCACTCTATTTCTTGTAATTTCCCACTATTTTCGGACAATGCTGGATGCTTTGACGAACTCGCTCTTTATGCGTACAATAAATTAGAAAACTGTTAACTATATTTACTATATTACTTATATTAACTATGAAATAGAAACTATTGTCCGATTTGGAATACTACCGATGTCAAAATTCCCAGAGATATTTAATGCAAAAAATTCGAGAGATTCGTGTCCGTTGTTTTGCAAAAACCTGTAGTAAAATTTCCATGCCTCACGTAACATCACACGCATGAATTTTCTGCAAGGACAAGAAATTTTGCGATACAACGCAAGAAAAGATCACCGTTTTTCATGCATAAAATATTACTTGCGTAACTATCTTAAAGCTTCATGTGGTATTGTAAAAACAGTATCACGGGCAGGTCCATCCAACTCGCTCGTAGTCAACCCTCGCAGTCCCTGACCTCGCTAACTACCCCCACCCCAGCGCTCTCATCGAACCTAGCGAGGGAAGGCCCCCAACTGTCCAATCGCTTTTGAGACAAAACCTGGTGGGTTATAGGTTATCGACTATGCTGATTCAGAATATGACCATGGCAGCTGCCAATAGGTCTCCGCACACCCGGTTTTGGAAAACCAGTTTTTCAGAAACTCTAAAAAATAACCAAAACCTTTCTTAATAAGGTCTGATTGTACCACCTCCCAGCTCTACACGAGCTTCCTTTGCAAAGTTATAGAGTTTACAAGATAAGCCCCAAGTTAATTTTTTCCTTATTTCTGTTGCTTCGAGTTGACAATGAAGATTTAGGGCTTTTTCTGTAAATTCTATAACTTTGCAAAGAAAACTCATGTAAAGCTGGGAGATGTGTCATTTTAATCAGAAATGTGCATGCTACAATCAGACCTTATTCAGAAAGATGTGCCGCATAGGTTTGTTTTGTTGTAATCTACCTGTCTGACATCTGTTCAGTCGAGCAATCTTGAAACGTCTTACAGATTAGTGACCATGCTGTATGACGCGTCAGTTTTCATAACTTTACTAAGAATATCAATCGGAAATTTATAGAAACACAATCTTTTTACATCGCTGAATAAAAGTTATGCAGATACTTCGAGAATCCCTCGAACAGAGTATCATTTCACTACGGACCTCTATCTATCTGACACTGTAATTCATCAACGCGAAACTTTAAGGTTTTTAGTTATTCTCATCAAAATCACTTTTTCAAGCATCCATTTGAGCTTGTTTCAGGTAGACCATTTGAAAATTTTGAATTTTTTACTCTAAACAAACCAAACGTTAATTACAAGTGATGTGTACACTGTAAAAAATAGTCGTAGATTAATAAACTATCAAAAAGGGTTTATTGAGACCAATAAACCTTTTAAAAAGCGCTTTTCCGTTTTTTATATCCAAAAAACTAAAAAGCGTTCGTCGCAGATGCAAAATGAAAAACCGACGATTTCTTATCAAGAATAAAAAACCCTCTTCAGTTTTTTGCAGACTCTAAAAAACTAGCTAGAAAACTGAAGAGTTTTTTAGCTGGTATTTTAGACTCGAGAAAAAACTGAAGAGGGTTTTTTATTTTTGATAAAAAATCGCCGGTTTTTCATTTTGCATCTGTCACGAACGTTTTTGGATATAAAAAACGGAAAAGCGTTTTTTAAAAGGTTTATTGGTCTCAATAAACCCTTTTTGATAGTTTCTTAATCTACGACTATTTTTACAGTGTAGAAAACGGAAATTCCTAACTTCCTTTGATAAAAAATCATTGACTTCCTGCTTTATCTAAACTAACAGTAACAAAATGTCACAATTATTCTCAAAATCTAAATTGGAAAATGGCCCAAAATAAGTATTTTGCTCTTAAGAAATTTCGAATTATTCGAACCACCGTTTTTGTTCTACACCCCCATGCCCGATTTTGTCCACCGCTAAACTCTCCCAGCTACTACCCCCAAGTTTGAATGTTTTTGGTGAATGGCATCATATCATTATCCTCAGCCGTTCGTCGTTTAAGTATTGGCGATTTAAGATACATTAGAAATGCAGCATCATTGAGACTACGGCTATGAAGAATACCTTGAGCTTCGTGAGCAGCATCCAAAAATTCATTATCGTCCTTATTACCCTCATTTATCTCTCGAATTGCTCTTGCTGTTGACAAATCAAGTAAAGCTAACATTATAAACAGTGAACAAACCATTATCAGTTTCATGATAATTGAGTTTTTCGTAGATAGCTACTCTATTGTGGAAGGGTTACAGTTGTTTGGATATTATAGGTATGATAAATGAAAAAACGTATAAAATACTTGGGTTGACTATGGTTCCATTAATTTTTCCTATTTTATGTAGACATAACAAGAATAAATACAATTAAAAATAATTGAAGAGAAAGTCTGTTTTTTCTGCTTCCGATCTTTCTATTTCTTTCGCATTTTTGTTATCAACATGAATAGTCATGACTTTTCAATTGAAAGTTATTGTTGTTCTATTTTAAGGATATAGATCAGTAAGATGAATAAAAAAAGCATCTAAAAATATTTGTTGACTATGCATGTCACTCCACTGTCTCTTATATGTATGAGTGTGACACATATACCAATGATTTATGCCGACAAAGAATCATCTGTAAAATCTGTTCCACTTTCAGAAAATTCTCGGGAGTGCAGCCATGGGGCACGCTCCATAGCCAGAAAAGTATGAATTTTTATACAACCCAGTACGGGATACAAAATGAGCATAGTGAAAACTCATCGTCGTTTA